ACATTTAGGAAGAACTATTGTCAGAAATGGAATATAATATTCATAGGTATGTTTTTATTAATGTATAACAACCTGAATATAGGAATCGTTGTGTTTTCGTTACCTGGATTGAGCCTTTTATATCTACAGACTCCTTGGGTCACCTTCTGTGGAGTCCGCCATTTTGAACCGCCATGTTTCTACAGTAACCCAGAAGGGACAAACACTGGCTCTATATAGGGGCGTTTTTTGCACGTTTTGCGACCACCGTAGTTCCTCCTTTGCGTTTGTAAGGGGAGGGTAAAGGAAAGGAACTGGGATCTGCAGCTACACCCCAAATGCCTCTAAATCCTACACACTGGACCTTTAAGTAGAGCAAAACATTTTCAAACCTATCTGAACGTCTTGAGGCTCATCACCCAAAAACATGTGATTTATTGCTTTGAAACTGCAAAAAGTGCTCACCAGATTAGTGATAGTCGGAAATTAAACAAAACATTTATAAATTCTGCTACATAAAATTGTGTTTAATAATGTAAAATGTGAATGTTGTTACAGGAATTGTCAAATATGTAAAAAGATGATTTTTGGCCATAACAAATGTATTCAGTCATGCCCTATCCTGTTACATCATATTATACCAAATAACTAGTAACTTTATCTACTCCCCAAACAACCTTGGAGGAACATTATCTGCAGGTTTTGTTCTTTGTTTTCTTTTGTTTTTGTGAGATAATCTTGCTGATAACCAAGCTAGCCATGACAGAAGCTGTCTGAGGCTAACGTGTTGCTAATACAACATTCTTGGTAGCTACTGATTTACAGTTAAACTAACACTAACTGTTGTATATTTAACTCTTTGTGCATTAATGGTTACCTTTCACTGGTGACAACTGTATCTCCCTGACATGACATCTATCATTGTTTTTTCCAGTTTCTTTGCCACTATATTAATTTACTTTTACAATATGTTCGGTCTAACTGCGTATTTCTGATTTGTAATCACAATTGAACTTGTTGTCCAATATCATTTTCAAAGTCTTGCAGTAAGATGTTTAGCTCTCTGCCATGGCCTGTCCATCTAAGCACACACAGGGCAAAATATTGCTAACTTTAAGCCAATGACTAAAAGTTCTTCACTTCTATTTGTGTGTAGTAATTAAATTAAGAGCTTAAGTATCGGTATTGTAGATAATAATAAATCAGTCTGCAAAGTCCATAAAACCACTCGCTCACTTCCAATTACTTTATTGGCGTGACTGCAGAACAGATTTATTAAAACACTACATCTTTTTCTCTCGCTGGCCCTTCATCACTCAACCCCTCCCTCCTCCGATGGGAATGGCGACACGGTTGCCGTGGCAGCCAGTAGAGACAAACAACAGTGATACCATGGAATACCACAAAATATTTACAACAAGACTGGACACACGCACACACACAAACTTCCTCACGTTTTCTGTTTCCCTCTCGCAAACACACACACACAGACACACACAGACACACACACACACACACACACACACACACACACAGCCGTTGGTGGTGTTCTGGTTGTTTTGGTCCTTGGCGACGCCGCCATAGCAACCACTCAGCTATTACATCACCTTCTGGAGAGTACGGGAAGAGACACAAACAGAGACACGCTGTCTTTGTCTTTTCACTTCGAGCAGTGTTATGGGAATGATCATTTTTTAAACGCACGCCGCCTCACCTCGCACTCTGCGGACGGCGTGTGGCGGAAGAAAAGCTCCATGAGGAGGTTTTGCATAATCCAAATGAAGTGCTGGAACATTTTCTGATTATCTCACAGACTGATTTAAACACACACGCAGCTGACAGTGTTATCAGTCAGTTGACATGTGCGCAGCGTGTTAGTCGCTGTCTAAACATTAGATTAAAACCATTTCCTCTAGATGGCAAATCAAAGCCAGCGACCCGCCGCTGACTCTATTCAAATTCAGAGGTTCACCAGCACCAGCTTTGACCACTGATATGATTTATCAAGTACTTTATGGAGGTTATGGTCCACTAATATGAGCAATGACTCAAGTAGGACTTATTTTACATATCCTGTCCTGTAGAATTTCAATATCCATCAATCAATCCATTTAGTACCACTTATCCCACAGCAGGCTAGCCAGCTCCAGCTCCCCGTGAGGGTCCTGAAGCAAACCCAGATCAGAGGAGGAGATATGAGTTCTGCACTTGATCCAATCCACAAAAACTGCATGTAACAGGTCTAAATATGTAGACATATTTCACCTGCATAGGGGGAAGTAAATAAATAGTTGAAGTCTCCATATTATGCAAATAAATTATATTTACTGTATTTGTTAAATTTTATGAAAGTGAAACTAGCTTCAAACAAACAAAATAGACAGTGTTAGGGTTAATATTGGATTTCATTTTGACGTAACTGCCAGGTGGTGCTTTTGCAGCAGTCCTGTTTATTGACTGCAGTTCCTTTCACATCGTCAGTGTCAGAAATTCCTGATTTCTCCAACTCGGAATCACGGAGGCTGACAGGAATGTTTTTTTCCTACTCGGTGATAGGACGTTAATGCGTAAAGCATAAAGCACTCGTTTCACTTCGCTCATAATGTCAAACTCAGTTGTTCTACTGAGCTTTAAAGGTGTGGAGCAGGTATAGTTTTGCAAGGTAAAAATCCCTCCACTGTGTCTGAGTTTGTTAATCCAAGGGTTTTTGATACATGTGTTTTAATTCTCTTTGTAATGACATATTGACTGCTGTTATTATTTTAGAATGTATTATGTCTATATCTATTATTATATGTTACATGTGCTGTCTGAATCTTGGCTTGGACGTTTATGTAAAAGAGATTTTAATCTCCATGAGGCGGTTAAATTAAACCTAATTATTATATTTTGCTATCAAATTCTTTCTTTCAGCTCACTGGTTGCAGCTTACATTGGCAACTGGTAAATCTAGAGCTCTGGTCACTAAGAAAACACTAGTGCAGCGTATTTTGCATTGCACTGGATTACAGTGGTAGAGAGTGAGCTGAGCCTGAAGCAGTGTTACTGACCCAATTATAATGGGTCAATTAAGTAGTAAGTAGTAAGTCTCTGTTGTAACCATCTTTAGTCAGCTATTTCACAATCACTGATCAATTATTAAAAAAACAGTATCATTAGAGAACATAAGACTCACCATGCCGTGGTTGAGCCACTGAGGGATGAAGTTGTCCAGTAGTCTGGGGTAGACCAGTTCTCTGTCGTACAGGTAGAGAGTCCAGAATGTAAACACCACAAACTACAGAGAGACAGAGAGAAAACAGTTAGTACTGCAGTCACAAACACATATGAATGCCTCACTGTATCAGGGGAGTGTGGTTGACTACTTTATAAAACCTTAATAAAAAGGATTTTTGTCATGTTGCATTAAAAACACAATAAGCAGAACATACTGCTTTAGTACAATTTAAAGAATAAAAACTTTTTCCTAATGAAGCCTTACATACAGTGTTTTATTTGGAACAGTAAATGATACTGTACTGTGATCCATCCTACACAGTGGTGGGGGTTCAACGGTTAAACAGACAAGTTGATAACAAGAAGGTTGCCACAACAATTTCCCTGCCTGGCTGGTAAAATCTTGTGAGGTGAGACGGTTACAGCAGCTCACAGGACTAAAACAACAGGGACGGATAATCCACACAAACCGGAGCTTCTACTTTAGAACTGCTACTTGTCCCACACTTGAATTCATGACACGATGTCATGTTAACATGGCAACAGGGTAAACGTTACGTGCTTTACTAGGAATGCAACGGTATATCGTGAGACAGTTAAATCACAATAGAAATGTGTGAAGATTAAAATTGGTGAGATTAAAAATGTATGGTAATACTCTTTTTTTAACAGCAGGTGTCGCTTTCTACTTTTGACTACCTTCTACGTCACTGTATTAGGGCGCAAAGACATGAGGCAGCTGTGAAACTGAGGATGCATCACCTGTTTACAGGGGCGGAGGTGTGGCAGCTTTTTGGCTTCCCTAAGTCAGAAAATAAGAAAGATGAGACGATAACAGACACGACATTGGCAAGAAATATAAGGCTGCTGGACTGTTCTCCGTAGTTGGCAGTTTTATTTTCAGTTTCACTTTTACAAAGAAAAGGGAATGTGCATTTTTTTGCACAGTTTTCTACCTTACTTCAGAAATAAAAAGGATTCTTTAATTTGACAAAGAAAATATAAGAAAAAATATATTTGGTAGATTGGTAGTCAAATAAATGAATCTCTTTCGGTCATTATTTGTCTTCAATCTCATTTTGTTTTGGAAATCATATCGTGAACCCAGTATCATGAATTGTATAGAATGGTGAGTTGAGCGTATCGTTACATCCCTATGCTTACCCTTTGTATGTTAACATGCTAACATGCTAATATTCTGTGTGTAATCCGTGTGTCATGTTAGCATGTTATTGTGCTTACATTTAATGTAATGTTGTTACCATGCTAATGTCACCAGTGAGCTCAAAGTAAAGATGAGCTGGAGTAAAAGCCAAAACATAGCAGATGAACAACCTGGCCATTCCTCTGACACCAGGCACAACATTACGCTTGAGTGCCGTACCAGTTTATATCCATAAATAAAATCAATCAATCAATCAATCAATCAATCAATCAATCAAGACCTTCCCTGTGCCTCCATTTTACATGCATCAAATTGTTATTTTTTGGTGTGTAAGGAGCTTTATAGCCTCACAGGCCCACTAACATGGCTACAGATGTTTAGTCTTGTTAATTCTCAGCTGCCATACTATATATACCGTAGGCCTCTAGCTGAGCATCCGTGATATCCAGACCCAGCTGTCACGGCCACCTCCCGTCACACATGTCCTGAACATAAGCTAACAAACTCCCGGTCTAATGTATCTCCGGCAGACTGTTTGGACCCGGGCCAGACCATGTTCTGCAGAACAGGGGTGGAATTACCTGACCGTCATCTGGGTTCCAGTTCGAGGCATCTGAACCAACCCCCCCTATTGTACCCTGATCGGCAAGGGCTCTGCTTTCAACAGGCCGGTGGAGGCAGGAAACACACACACACACACACACACACACTTCGCTCCTGTGTGTCACATATACACACAGACTTCCTTTAGTTTCCATGCCCATATGGTCATGCATGCACATATACATGTAACATGCACCTGCACACTCGGGCCCACACATAAGCGGCGCAACACACATATTCAAGCGTGCACACACTCTCTGTCCATATCAGTCAGGCTAGGTTTCCAGACATTAGCTGTGGTGATAATCATGTCCATTGTACTTTGTGTAAACCGAACTCTGTGCCCAACTCACACACACGGCACCATGCCAGCTGACTGCTTCTATAGGTGTGTATGTGTGTGTGTATGTGTGTGTGTGTTGTAGCCTTGGCTGTGGCAGCTATCTCGCTGGCACTCTGGTTGCTTAGGGCAGTTGATTAGAGTCTGTGTGCGTATCAGATGCATAGTCTTGTGTGTGTGTGTGTGTACACGTGTGTGTCGAAACCTTGTGGTCAGACAGCCATACAAGTTCCTCAGTGAGGCAGCAACAGGGCACCTTGCCAACTGAAATCTTGAATAAAAGTGTGTGTGTGTGTGTGTGTGTGTGTGTGTGAGGAACCATGTGAGCAGAGTCTGCCAGCTTTGTGAGAACAGCTTGAGGATCAGACAGAGGTCACTGTCTGAGTGTCTGAGGCAACAGAGGACGACTCAACACCGTTTCCTCTATTCTGTTTATTCACAGCGAGATTCAACTAAGATTACACGGCTCAGTATGTTGACACCGGAGCTACTTGCGCCGGATATGTTATTGCTACCAATATTTAACACCTTCAAATAGAACTAGTTGATTTCATTATCAATTATTTGTTTGAATTGCTTAAGGTGACGTCTTCAGGTTGCCCAAAACTATTTAACCTACAATGACACAAAACAGGGAAAAGCAGCCAATCATCATATTTTCAAAGTCATGATGAGCTGTTGTGGTGGAACTTGTGGTGAGATTATTTTCACAACTGTTTAGTTTGGATGAGTCCTTTAAATTCTTAGGAAAAAAATTTTAATTTAAACATCTGTAAATTTGAACATCTACAATTCCAAAACAAGGCAAACTCCCTTTGCCGATGAAGACCATGTGATATGACTGACAGCTCTACTATGTAGACCTTTTATTTAGACTGGTGTCTCAACTGATTTCTAAACTGTTACATTTTCAAGTATTTTTCCAACAGAAATGTACATCTGTTGATTGTTAATAATCTCTGTCCCTGTTACAGTTACGCAAAGACTTTCAACCCGCCCACTCCATCTCCGTCACCATCAAATCTCCCTGTTGAGTTGAGAGAGTTAATGCCTCGTATTGTGGGTGCGTTTCTGAATTTTTGAACAGAAAAGGCATCACCCTTCATCACTTACACTCTGCTCTAGTTCTCTCTCCCACATTTGTCAGCCAGTATCTGTGGCTGCTGGTAACAAGCCTTTATATAACTTGCAGATGGCATCGAATAGTTTATTTTTGCTGTTAAGTAAACCCTCAAACATGAAGGCTTTTGGAGGGAGATTTTGGCTCACTGAACCCATGTGATACATGAAAGGACACAAGGATTCCTCTGTAATGTCCAAACCTGACTGTTTCGTGTAAAAAATATGAAGGGATTGTTTTTTTTTTTTACTTGCTGTGTAATGTAATAGTGTAAATGTAGCACTGTGACATCCATACGCTGATTACACAAATGAGTTGAGTAGCCGACGAGTCTTATCAGGAAGGAAAAGCCTCCTGAATTAACATTTGGGCCACAGTTCAGAGAGACCGAAGAAGGGCAAGAGAGGAAGAAAGAAAAAGGGAGAGAGAGCTGATTATCCTGCACATGCATTAGTCAAGCCTTTGATTCCTGCAAACCAGGCTGATCCTTTCTCAGGCTATTTGTGTTTGAGTGTGTGTGTGTATGTTTAAGTGTGTGTTTGTTTGGTTGTATGCATCCATCTCCCTCACCGCTCCGACAGGGAAGGCCAGTACAGCCATCATCCAGTCCCTCAGGCCAATCAGCTTCCTCAACTGCCGCTCCTGCTCCCTGCTGTCGCCTCCCTTAGTCAGCAGACTGGACACATCGATCAGGACACACACTCCGAAAAACACCGCCTGGATCACCTACAGAGAGAGGCCCAGAGAGTTCAGCGAGCTTACAGCACGGCTTACAATGTTTTCACATGACAAAGACACTTCAAAGAGATAGAGAGAGGGGGGAGAAAGACAGTGCTTGGACAGTACTTTTTTTTAGAGCAAGAAAGCGAAAGAAGAGGAGTTCGAAGAGGAAGAGATGATGAGAGAGCGCAACTAGACATTAAAGCTGCACTGCAATCAGAACAATCATTGCATTTTGTGGTGCACCCACTTTTCCTTAATCTGCCTCGCCTTCTTCTACTTCAGTCAGTAATTTTATAGTCATTTCAACATCCTCAAGAGAGGGAAGGGGCTGGAGACACTGGTTTAGGTCTAACATGAGCAGCCAGCTGGAGGACCAGCAAATATGACCGACGGTTTGTTTGTGTTTTTGTGGTCCGTGTTTTAGGGCTGTGTATTGTTAAGAATCTGGTGGTACGGTACATATCACGATAAAGGGGTTACGATTCAATAAATTGCAATACATTGCGATACTGTAAGCAGGGTGATATACTGCGATATTTTTTTGTGATAGAACTATTTGCAGAGTAACTGAGTGAACATTTGACTTTTTTATGCAACCAGAACAGTGAGATTCATATTCATCACAGTCGGTGTAACATCCAACTTTTGTGTGATCAGTTCAGTCGTGCCTTCGGTTGGGGTCACGTTTGCAGACTATTTGAAATACTGACTAATATTCAAAGCTTTTTCTGTATGCTGACATTGGACGTTTTCTTGTGTTTTTTTAATTGTTTTTGGGGTTTACTCTTCTTCCTGAACTTAATGCTGAAATCCAATAAACACAAAATCATTTGCCATCTTTCAAAGGGAGCAAAGCAATTTCCATTTTATTGCCCGTCACCTAGCAACAGTGTTCTCAAACTTAAACCACTTGAATGCCAAACATATCCTGTACTTGCCATATTGAAAACACAGCCTCACCAGTTCCATTTGAAAGGCAGCACTGCTGTAAGTATCCGAACATGATGTAACATTGTCCATATTTGAATAAAATGGAAAGGAACTGGGATGGAAAGCGTCACCAGCAGCTATTTTTTAATCAGTGTGAGATGCGAGGACACTGAGAAACTTTAATATTTCAGAGAAAAAAAAAGCAAGAAGATGACCATTAAATATGTGTTCTTATCATTGCTCTTGATTATAGTTAAACCTGTCTTCCAAAGAGCTGAGTGGAATTACAATATATTAAAGTATAATGTAATGTGCGGTAATATAGATTAGAAAACTACCGTACTACCATAATCAGATCTTTAGCCTGTGAATGCAACACTGTTTTTCAGTCACCTCCTATATGTTAGATGTTTGAACTCCTGGCCTCTGGGAGCTGTCCACTGTGAATAATATTAATAATATTAATAAATTATCTTCCTTCTGAGACACACTGTATTTAGATCAAACTCAGAAGGAGCTGTAGGGCACTAAGTGAACTGTGGCGAGAGAGAAACCAGCTCTTTGTTTTAACCGCATTCTCTGTGTAATGAAACACTCCCATCAATATGTTCATAATGATGGATCTGACCTTCTTTACCAGAGAAAGATGGAGAGGATGCTCATAGCCATCTCTCCTCCTCTCCGCTCCTCCTCTTCTCTAATCTCCCAGTGGGAGTATCGCGTGTCACCCACTGTGTGTGGGGACGGCTGGACCTTGGAGACATTTTGGCTTTAAAGCTATCGGATGCCATTTCTCCTCTGATGTGTGCGTTGTGTATCATCCCTTTCTCTAAAAATACTTACCCTTCTTGATGTGTGTGTTGCCTGTTACCTCTATGCATGTTTGTGCGTGTGTATTAACTGAAATATCGACGTGAGTGCAATAATGTGCCTGAATTAGCTTTCCTGCTACGTGAATAAATAGGTTTCTATGAGAAGTCAGCTAGCAGCGAGGCTCAACACGCGCGCAATCAAAGTGCCTGCATTCGTGAAATGGATCTCGCAGCAATCATGTGTGTGTTTCAGTGTCAGTGTAGCACTTATTTGCAGGGCTTCACGTTGCATATGTTCATACATTAACACAAACTGGCACACACACACACACCTACACACACACACACACCCGTATGGCCCGTGATGGGAGGTTATAGTGCAGACGGCTGCTGTGCTTACCCATGGAGCAGAGTAAAGGGAAGTCCTTAAAAGTCATCCAAGCCAGGATACTCCTGATGAATCACCAGCACCTCCTCCTCCTTTTCTCGATCTTCAGCCCTCCTTCTGTAGCTGCCTCTGCACTCCGTTCCTCCCTCCACTCCCAAGGCTTAAAGCCTTAATATTGATTCAGCTTGCTAACTGCTCTCCCTGTGTGCCCTGTTAGAGAAGCTGAAGTCTTTCTTTAGCCGTTTACAACTCCTCGCTCCCCGAAAACCTTTCAAGACTTCTCTCATTGGCCTTTATTTTGCACAACATCCCGAGAACTCTCAAATAGTATCAATTTTAATACTGCTGCATTTATCTCAAGGTGTAAAGTATAAAAAGTATTCTTTAGATGGTGTGAAATATAGAACAATGTGACAACCTGTGGAAAGTAGAGAGGAAGCGATAGAAGCTGGTTTTGCCGATGCACTTCAGCCCGAGGCCTTGCCGTTGGCTCAAATAGGAAAAGTATGTTTACTCAACCATCACCATAACATCCTCTATTTGCTTTGTTCAGTGGAAGGCCAAATGTTACTGCAGAATAGAGTTACCGAACAGGACTGACAGCCTGAGAGTGGTTTTAGTGTGATCAAAATGCCTAAAAATGAACCTATGAGCCATATTTTGTATTCTCTGGAAGGAGGACATACCCTCAGTTTTACAACAGTTGTTCAGCTTTCTAATTCATGCTTAACACTTGCGTTTGGCGCTTTACAGTGGTCGTGTTTGCGGCGTCGTTAAATGGCGAGTTGTAATTGAAAAGGTGTACTGGCGCCAGCCGCCGCGGCAACTGCCGATGTACATGTTTATAAATTCACCTTGCAAGTGTCAAATAAAATCTTTACGGTGTGCTCGAGCGACGCCGTGCTAAATTTTTATCAGCCTAATCAGTAGAATGAACAGCCGCCGCCTCGGAGTCCAGTTATTGGACACTCTCATTTGCATGTACTGACCACGGAGAGGAAAATGCAACAAGAGCAACCTGAACAAACGATGGTAAATCTTAGATGTTCTCTGATTGTAAAAATCTGGGCCTTTATTTATCAAGTGGCTCAGGATCCCACCAAGGAATCATGGTCAAAGTTAAGGACTAAAAACACTTGTAGAGTAGGACTTGTGACTGTTTATGAAGTGTCCTGCAGAGAAGGATGACTCCTCAGTGCGATGTTGCTGTTTTCTGACACTCAGACAAGCAAAGTGTAAATTATGTTGACATATTGTCGTTTGGAGTAAATAATGGGTCTCATGCAGCAAAATTCTCATAAATCTCTGTTGTAGTTTTTGCAGCATATGACCAATTACACCATGGACAATTTTAGAGTAAGCAATAACAGACAAAACAAAGTTAAACACTTAATAATGGGGATGTACCCCGGTAAGAGGTGAACCACCGTTGTAGGACTGAAAACCCAGAGTCAATCCCAAAGTGTTCTCACTGACCCCAAAGCCTACTTCTTAGTACAGGTCCCAGATGCAGGTCTCACTCAACAAATTTTATTGTATTTCTTTGGCCCTGTTACAACCTGGTAAATTCCAGGGGTGAGAGGAGCAACAATTAATAAATAACCCAGGATTAAAGAAAGACGGGAAAATAGAATTATATGTACCAACAAAAAAATTATTAAACCAATTTTAACAAAAATCTACTTCCTTAAAAATATAAAAGTGAAAATAACTCTATTTTAACAAAAAACTTGATTTAAGCAAATAAACACTAATGTCTCCCTCCCTCCACTGAGGGAGCAATTAAAATAGCACGTGCGCACACGCACAAACGACGTACAGCACAACACAGCTGTTTTGCAGTTTGGCCCACTGGCCTCGTCTGCTCCTGCTGTCCTTGTTTTGAAGCCGTTTGGACTGATTGATAAATTATTGCAGGTTTGCCTGACCAATCGGAGGGGAAGACGGTACCTGGAACAGGGCACACAGCAGAGGCAAAACAAAACACCACACTATACTCGTAACAGGCATTAAGGAACTGTCTGACGAGCTGAATGTCATTCCCTCTCTTATTATGCGTAATCTTACAGGTTTGAATTCCTTAGATATAGCTATGCAGTGACCAGAAGACATTCAGCAGATGATAAAACGCTCATTACAACCATAAGAGACTTAAGACTTGACATGGACTGAACCTCAAAGACTTGAGACCTGGACTTGTTAAAAAATTCCCAACTCTATAAATAGTTCTCTTACTTTTGCGATCAGACACATTGCTCTAAGACTCAATTCTGTCATTGTGCGTTCTCCTCTCCCTATAAATTATGTTTTTCTTAAAATTATCGTTAAATAAGCTAATGCTCATCAAATTTTACCAAATCGTCTCCCATCTCATGGAATCTCTCTGCCTGACCGCCTTGTCCTGGCAACTCATAACAGTTTGGGAGCTGGAGCTCTCTCTAAACACTAACCAAGATAAGCTAAAAAAGATAAAATGCTTTTACTCCTAGGTTTACAGGTAGAGCTAATAATATGTCACTCTGACAATTTTTGGCCAGTTTGGACTATTTTCCTACTCTGAGACTCTTTGGGCCCAGAAATTGCTTGTTGGACAGTCCAAAATCATTACTGCTGCAAAGCTAAATTTTTTTTGCCAAAAACACAAGGTTGAAAAGACCTTGATTTCTGCAGGGACAACTGGAGTTCACATTCGAATCCCGCATATAGTCGGCCACAGTTCAGTTTCTGTTTCTCCTCCCACGTAATATCTTTGTCTGAGCTCCACTTTCTGTTGCTTCTAAGAGAAATGGATGATTTCCTAAGTAAAAAAGATTAATCAAACACTTGCATCATGCATCATTTCTGCCAGTTACTGACTGATCTCTACACTGATCAGACTTTCTTTGCTGTGA